AAGGATATGTGATAGTTTTAGTTGGGGGGGTGGTGGCAGGGGAGGACGGGAGGGAGAAGGGAACTGGGATTGTCATGTAAAACAATCTTGTTTCTACTTCAAATAAAAAAAAAATCTGCAAAAATAAATAAATAAATCCCCAAAGTCCTAAAATTCTTAGAGGAAAACACATTAAGATATAGTAAGTACTCTTGAATATGTCACCAATTGTACAGAAGTAATGCCAAATGTTGACAAATGGAACCTCATAAAATTACAAGCAAACAGCTAAGTGGGTATTGCACACCAGTTTCTTCCGAGATTAAAGCCTTTCCTCCTGGGATGTTAAAGGGGTGGAGAAAAACCAGGATAGTCTAAGGAAAATGAAACATTCCATCCAGCAAGAAAACTCATAAAGCATAGAAAGTCAACAACTCCATGGCTTCAAGAAGTCTCTAAAATTGACCAGATTCACCAAGTTCCTCTCTCCTCAAACATAATATAAACAGTATGGATTGATGAGAACATTCCCAGATGAGACAAGCTGTGAAGAAGAGGCTCAGACCAGCCAAGCCATCGGAAAGAACTACAGACAGGTTGAGATACCTGTAAGAAATCCAGATCAGCCAAGATGCTTACAAGCTCACATGCCCAGAAGACTCTCAGAAAAGCTGAGTTGCCTAGAAGAAGCCCAGAGAACAAGTCACCTGGAAGAAGCAAAGACCAGCCAAGTTACCTGGAAGAAACAGAGATCAGCCAAGCTATTTGATGAAGCAGACCAGGCTGAAAGGTTCACACCAACTGAGCCACGGAAAAGACACTCTTACCCACTGAGCTGTCTGTAGATTGTGCTGAGATCATCTTTGTGTGAGCTGTTTCTCTTTAGGACTGGATTAATACTGTTTAGATCTGGGTGGTCTTGGATTCACAGAGACCTGGCTACCTCTTAATCCCAAATCCTAGGATTAAAGGTGTATACCACCACCTCCTAGCTTCTAGATGCTGGGATTAAAGGTGTGTATCACCACTGCCTGATATCTATAGCTTGAGGTCTGTTTTGCTTTCCGAATCTTCAGGCAAGCTTTAATAAATCATAAATAATATACCACCACACAACAGTATCTTCTGGATACGAGAAAAACTCACAGCAATGCAAGTTGCCGTACAGTCTCACACCAGTAAACATTCCAGCATAGAAGGGGGTGGGGCTTCTGAGCCCTCATGCATACTTGACAGTTCTTGGGTAAAGGCTGGACAACATTTTAGGGTGTGGTCTCTGGCAAGAGGATCATACTTCAGGAGATGGCTCCACAGCTGTGAGGATATGAACAGCACAGATTGGACTCAGTGGGTTATTAGAATAATAAAGAGGACTTGTAATTTTAAAAGGGAGGGGTGAATGTAGGCATTAAGGTGAGTATGATCAAAATACATTGTATTCATGTATGGAATTCTGAAATAATAACAATGTTATATTAAAAATAAAAATGCAAAAAATAAAAATAGAGACCATATGCCTTAGTTAGGGTTTCTATTGCTGCAATGAAACCCATCACCAAAAAGCAAGTTGTGGAAGAAAGGGTTTATTCAGCTTATACTTCCACAGCACTGTTCATCCTTGAATGTAGTCAAGACAGGAACACAAACAGGGCAGGGTCCTAGGCAGGAGTTATGCAGAGGTCACAGAGGAGTGTGGCTTACTGGATTGCTCCACATGGCTTGCTCAATCTGATTTCTTACAGAACCCAGGACCACCAGCCCAGGGATGATACCACCCACAGTGAGCAGGGTCCTTCCTCATCAATCATTAAGAAAGTGCCTTATAGCTGGACAGTTTTTCAAATGAGGCTCCTACAAATCTGATGACTCCAGCTTGTATCAAGTTATCATAAAACCAGCTAGTACAGCATATAATGAAGAAGAAAAAAAAAAACGTAACAATATATCCTAACAAAGATGTGGATAAAAGGGAAGCCTTATATGCTTTTGATAGAAATGTAAAATAGTTTAGATAGATAAAAGTGAGTACAAAGGTTTCTCAAGAAACTAATGCTAGATTTACCATGTGAACCAGATATACTACTCCTGGGCTTTTACATGGACTACAAGTCAGTGTATCATGGAGATATTTGCAAATTAGTGTTTATTAAATACTTCTTTTAATAACTAAGTTCTGAAACTACCTACATGCCCTCTAACAGTGAAACAGATAATGAACACATGGCACATATACTCAACTGAATGTTTTTCAGCCATAAAGAACAAAGTCATGTTTGCAGGAAAATTGATAAAACTGGAAATAATCATATCACATGAATTAAGCCAGACTTGGAAAGATATATGTGTGTGTGTGTGTGTGTGTGTGTGTGTGTGTGTGTGTGTGTGTGTATGTATGTCATAAAAAAGTGAAACTGTCTAGGGAAACAAAGGGGACTAAGGAGAAGGGGAAGCGTGAGAAAAGGGAGGGAATGAGTGTATGGGAGAAAGTTATCAACAGAGACTAGATGATTTTATGGAGATTTAAAAAATATATCGGGGGGGGGGGGGGGGGGGGTGGGTGGCCCTTTCTCTGTTCATTTTGTTGTGTTTTTTTTTTTTTTTGTTTCTTTTGTATTTTTTGTTTTTTGTTTATCTCTATGATATACACATCATGCTTTGTTTCATAACATACAAAGAATTCCTTTTCCAATTACCGTTTTTAGAGACAAAGAAAGTAAGTTACATAGGCACGGGGTAAGTTGACCAAGGCTACTTCTGGTCAGTGGGAGCTCTTTGACCCTGCTCCATTAATTAAAGAAAATTTCCAGAGACTTTTTTGCCTCTATGATAGGCCCTAGTCAAAGCAAAGCTCTCCCTACAAGGACCAAAGGTCAGAAGTGTCTTGAATCCATCATCAACCTTTTTTGACTCCATTAATTGTTTTTAACACCCAAATCTCCATGTTTCTTTCATGGTTCAATCACCACAAGAAAGACTCTTCTATATGAGAGAATAAAGTTAGTGTTCACATTTATCTTTATGTTTCCATTAAGCCATTTCCTAAAGCAGTTAAAATTGCCTTTTCCACTCATATCTTGACAACCTAACTTCTAATTCAGATGCATCTTATTCTTCAAGTCCAGCTTTGGGTTCTGCCCATTCAGGGTAAAGGTGATTACTATTTGTTGTATAGTGATTTCCTTTGAATCAAAACATCCTTGGGAGAAGTGGGAGGCTCCTGAGTCTCTGCAAGCCCATGGAAGTTACCAGGCTCCAGAGGCTCAGAAGGTCCTCATTCATAAAGCTCCTTTCCTGGGCTACAAAGACAGTGACTACCACTGTGGGAAGGAGACTCTTTCCCTGAGCTCAAGGGGTTCACCTTTTCTGAGTTGCTTTTCTGTGATGCAGCTGCTTTTTATTTATTATGTGTGCTCATGTAACTAACCCAAGAAACTCAGAGTTTACCAAGCTACTCTTATGGGGAATAACTGCTCTGTTCTGGCATCATATGTCCCGAGAAAAGGTCACAAATATTCTTACTAGATGGTGGTTTGTTTGTAGCCAGGGGATATACTTTCATTCACAAGTTTTTAATGTTTTACACACACACACACACACACACACACACACACACACACACCTGGTATTTAAGAAAATGTCTTTTTAAGCTGGGCATATTGGTGCAGGTCTTTAATCCCAGTTCTCAGGAAGCAGAGGCAGGTGGATCTCTGTGAGTTAGAAGTCAGCAAGGTCCACATATTGAGTTCCAGAACAGCCAGGAAAAAAGAGGGGGGAGGGGGGAAGGAGGGAGGGAGGAAGGGAGGGAAGAGGGAGAAAGAGAAAAAAGGAAAGGGAGAGGGAAGGGAAAGGGAGAGGGAGAAAGAGAGAGAGGGAAAGGGAGAGGGGAGAGGGGAAAGGGAGAGGAAGGGAGGGAGAGAGAGAGAGAGAGAGAGACAGAGAGAGAGAGAGAGAGAGAGAGAGAGAGAGAGAGAGAGAGAGAGAGAGAGTGTCTTTCCTAGATTTCCTAGGAGTGCAACAATACACCTTGAATGATTATGTATCTATATTACATGTATACATAATTTTCATAGTACCTTATAACTTTGGCCTGACTACAGTATCTAAGTATAATAGAATTTCATGTGATTCACAAGATCATTTTTTCAGGAAAACACAAGAAACTTCTATAGATTTCACCTAATTAATTTTCAATTTAAGTTAAAGGAAATCCAGAATTCTTATACAATATTGTTACACAGACTAGCAGTGGGATTAATGGCTAGACATTTTTTAGAAACATACAGTTTAAGGTTGAGTAAACTTGTCACTGAATTTACCTAAAATAACTGAAATTTTACAACAGATTAGAACACAATCAAATGCATTATAGTTCTGAAGTTTTAATGTGTTATTTCAGAGCATGTATAGTTATTGTTTTGCAATTACTACAGCAATATAAATCACTATTTTATATAAACTACATACTGAGATTAATATAAGACTGGATTTTCATAAATAACAGTTGGAGGTAGCACTCACTAATAATCACTGAATCTCTCTCTCTTTCTCTCTCTCTCTCTCTCTCTTTCTCTCTCTCTCTCTCTCTCTCTCTCTGTGTGTGTGTGTGTGTGTGTGTGTGTGTGTGTGTGTGTGTGTGTGTATCTCGGAGGCCAGAGGCCAACTTTTGGTGTTTTCCTATATGCCTCTCCACCTTGTTTTTTGAGATGAGGTCTCTATTGATTCTGCAGCTCACTAGTTCATCTGGACTACCTGGCCATGAGTTCTGTGGAACCACCTGTCTTTGACTGCCCAAAGCTAAGGTTCATACCCATTCTACCATTCTTTTCATTGGCTTTGATGATGCTAACTGGACTTCATGTTTGCAAAGCAAGTACTTCATCCACTGAGCTATTTCCTTAGTTCTAACTAATAATTTCTGATAAGAAATGAATGCTGCATATAAACTTTAAATCACATAAAAGTTGTTCAAATCACTAACTTACAATTAATATTTCAACAATATACTTCAAAATGGCCAATACCTTTGCTCAAACTTCAAATATGGTGTATAGTCTATTACAGCAGGGAAGGTGCCATCCAATCCTTCTCCCTTTAGGCAGAAGCTAAGAAAGCAGACAATAAATATTCATATTAGTACAGAAATATTAATGTCCCAACTGCACTAGAATGTTTCTTTGTCCATAATTTGTTACTTGCTACAAATAAGTACCTTAAATATTTAATTTTCAATACCAATGACAAGTATTATATGACAAGTTAATATATTACTACATGTTTCATAAAGCAGCAATAAAATTTACCGAGAAACCAATGTCTTAATCACTGTTCTATTGCCATGAAGAGACTCCATGACAACTGAAACTCTTGCAAAAGAAAGCATGTAACTGGGGGCTTTGTTTACAGTTTCAGACACTTGGTCCATTATCATCATGGTGGGAACACGGCAGCAGGTGTGCTGCTGAAGAAGTAGCCTGAGAGCTACCTTCTGATCCACAAGTAGAGAGAGTGGAAACCTCAGAGCCCAATCCCAGTGACACATTCTCTCCACCAAGACCACATCCACTAATCCTTGTAATCTTTTCAAACAGTCCCACTCCCTGGTGTCTAAGCATTCAAATATATGAGTCTATGGAGACCCTTACTCTTCAAACTGCTACTCAATCTACATTTCATTCTTCTATTTGGCAATAGGTTGATTTTTATTGGATACTGAAAATATCACCAGAGAATGTTCAAAAGAAGATTTGTTTTCTTTCTATGTTTAAATACAAATTCTCAGGTTTCACTCTCTATCTCCTAGAAAGTTCTGACTGATTAGTAAATGAGAATTTTCTAAACTCCCTGAATAAATGAAAGAGCTTGGACATTAGCCCTCCAAGGGGTGCTGAAAACCCTCTAATCTCTAATTATCCTCTTCTGAGACCCAAGGGCATGCTGTGATGCTCACAATGCCAATGAAGGCAATCTGAACCTTTCAACCTCTAATCCAGTAATCTCTCCTTTTGTATGACACACACAAAAAGATAAAAAGGTGTTTGGTTGATGATTACTATTGTTAAAAATACATCTTCTAGAGTTGGGTGCAGTGATACAAACCAGTTATCCCAGATTTAAACTGTGCTCAATACAACTAAAACAACAACAACAAAAATCACATCCTCCAAAAATATAAATGTGGAAACACTTACAAAAGAGCAGATTGATATTTCAGAGGGAAAAAATCACCTATGAACTCTCGCCTTCTGATTTTGTTCCAAAGTTTGACTGCCCTTTTAGCAGACCTATATAGAGTATGCATTTACTTTTTCGGGCTTGAATGAGGACAAAATTAAAGGGGCATCACTTCACACTAGCATTCCTTCATTTTCACCAGCATTACTAACATATGGTTAAGATATTTGCTTTCACTCAATCACACATTGTCGGTGAGCAATAACCAGTGAGATGCCTTAGCAGTTAAAGACACTTGCTTCAAAAGCCTGGTGAGTGCAGCACAATGTTTGGAACCCACATAAAGGTGAAAAGAAAGAAGCAACTCCATAAAGTTGTTCCCCAATCTCTGTGCATGCACACTTATACACATAATCAGTTTAATCAGTTACAGTTTGGATATAAATATCCCTAAATGTTCTTTTGTATACTTGTTCCTAGCTAATGGCATTGTTTGAGATGATTAGAAATCTTTAGGAGGTGGAGTCTTGATGAAGAAATTATGCCAGTGAAGGAGGGCTTGAGGTTTTGTTGCTTGGCCCCACTTACTATTGGACTTTCTGAGTGGGGATACAATGTGATCTCCAGTTTCCTGCTTTTGTCACCATGTTGTCCTTACTTGCTATCATGCCTTCTCTGTCATGATGGGTCTTATTCCTCTGAAACTACAGGCTCCTCTTTTAAATTGTACATGCCAGGGAGTTTTATCACAGCAACATAGAAGAAGCTAATATACATAAACAGTATCAGAAATGGGTTGTTATTATGATACGCCAGACCACATAGTTTTAGGACTTTATTAGATAGAAGGAGTGTGAAGGCTTTGTATATTTGGGCTGGAAAAGCCATTGAATGTTGTAATCAATAGGCTATTTTGATGGAAACTTAGAAAGGAGTAGTAATATAACCTGGTAAGAGTAATCCAGAGAAACTTGGGTGGTAGAAGCCCAACTATTAAGGTTTCAGTGAGGGAGCAAAGATTCTAGAATTAATGCAATATTTTGTCAAATAGTCTGGCTGCATTTGGTTCATATTCTGAGAACTTATGTGAGATCAAGTTTAGAAGTAATGGACTAATTCCCTTAGCAATAGAAATTTCAAGACAGCATAACATTTAGTGGAGTAGCATGGTTTTACTGACTAAGCTTATTCAGTTCCACAAGGAAAAAGAACACCAGTCAGAGAGGGGGACATGTGCAGTTTGGAGAGGAAAGGGCATTAGGTAGCGAAGGTTACAGTCAAGGCAGGTGCTAAGAAAAGTCCTTAATTGCTAAAGAGATTCTTGCCAACAGGCAAGGGACCCTGAGGGCAAGACCCCAGCATGGAAGGCTCCAGGTATTGAAAGGAGAGAGCCTGACAGGTTTCTTGTTCTCGAAAAGCAACTGTACAGGGAACATTTTTTTTTTTTTTTTACCAGTTTCAGCATACAGAAACTGTTACAACTGTGGTCTAAGAAGGCCAGGCTCCGTCCCAAGCTGTAAGCAGAACTTGGCAGTGAGTCTAGTTTGGTAGCACAAAAACTGCAAGTCTGAGGGGATCAGGGACTCTTCTTCCTGAATTTAGAAAACTACTGATGACAGGCAATGTGTGACAGTGTGACAGAGTTAGGGGAGTGGCAGAGAGGCCCTCGGAGCCCACTGAATGAGGCTGTGAAGGTGAAGGCAAGGTTGTAATGTAAGTTCCAAGATACTGGGACTTCCCAGGGGCCACGAAATAATATTCTGAGGAGGGCTGCATACCAGGAGTGAAAACAGCCAACAAGAGTGGCATATATTACAGGCTACATGGGGTATGGAGGAATGAATCTATGCCCTTGGAAGTTAAAGCCATAGACACACAACTTCAGGATTTGGTGTTTGCCCTGCTGAAGTTTTTGCTTTTGTCTAACCTTGGTATGTTTGTATTCTTCCCTTTTAGAATGGGAATGTATCAGTGTATATTGGAAGTATGCAATTATTATTTTTTTATTCAGCATTGGTTCACAGTCAAAAGACACTTCAATCTTGAGACTTCTGAATGGTGTTGGGACTTTTAAGGACTGTGGGGACTTTAAAAGTTAGACTATATGTATTTTGCACCATGACATGGCCATGAGTATATAGCAGCCAGAGGTGGAATGCTGTAGTCTGAATATGAAATAAAATTTTTAAAAGAAAAAAAAAAAACAAAAGCAGAAAACATGGATTTACAGGACTAAGACAGTGGGACACCCTACATAAAGAGTTAACAACACTCGAGGGTCAGAAGACAATCTTCAGGTTGGCAAGACTGCTCAATAAGTAAAGGTGGCGCCATCAATCCAGATGAGCAGAATTCAATCCTCAGGACTCCCATGGGAGGGGAGACCAGTTGTCCTCTGATCTCCACATTCACAGGTGCCCATACACATGCACACATACCAAGTAAATAAATGCAATAAAAACTTCAAGGGACAACCTTCAGACTTTCCCAAGTTCATCAGAAAAATTAAGCTAATATTAGCTTATTAAATTACAAATAGGGGAAACCCAGACCTATGAAGAGATAGGTATTTTGAAGAAAAAGTAAGTTACTAGAAAAAAATAATCTCATTGAAAATTATAGGAGTCTATTTAAAGTCAAAACCCACAAGTCATTTCACTCTCATCTTGTTAATACTCTTGAATTTTTCAAATGATTCTATTTATAAAAATATTATTCCTTCACCCTTGGAGATTTCATAAGAAAACTTTTTACTTTTAATATAACATATACTTTTAGATAAATTAAGTGTACAATGATGCTTTCAGAATCTTCAAAGTTATCTCATCACAACCATTTTTAGCATTTGTTATCAGTCTGGAACTGATTCATGTTGTTGAGAAAAGGAAAAATGAACAATATTTTGTATTCTAAATTAATTTTAACAACACAAGAGGTATAAAGTATCCAAGACATCCTCCCAGAATTTTCTCTATTTGGACACGGGAAAAGGAATCTTGCTTATTTTAAATCTTCTCTGAATCTATTTGTTTACATTTTATAGCAGTAGCTAAAAATACTAAGAGTAAGATCCAGAAATTTCCCTTCCTTGACAGCAATGTTCTGCTGCAGGGCACAGTCTACTCCTCCTTCTCACCCAACTTAGAGAGTAGGCCTGTTAAGTTAGAAATCACCTCATTGTCTTTCTTCTAAGAAACTTGAAAACTAGTTGATCTGAAAGCAATATAAACCAAATATTGAAGTCCAACTGTGCTTTACCTAGCAAACTGAAAGAAACTCATGAGTAGAAACCATTAGGTATCATTATTTAAAAAACTGAATTCATTTAGTTGAACCTTGAGTACCTGAAGTCGATAGCATTGAGTCCAAGCAGCATGCCAGCAAGCATATTTGCTTCTTCACCCAAGACAATGGCTCCATCTTCATAAAACCTCCTGAAAAAATGCAGTGAATATACAAGGATTAAAAACAAACTAAGGTTTGACCTATAGAAACCACAGTCAAAAATAACACAGAATGAACTCCATTTTGTTGAATTTCTATTTTAAAATTGATCACTGCAGTTTCAAAGATATTTAGAAGTAAAAATAACCAAGAACATCCAAACTCATTATCCAAAACAAAAACATTATCCCTAAATTTTTTTTTTTTAGGGAAAAGAAATCTGAAAAAGAATCTCTAAAGTAATAATGTCAATGGGCCCTAGATGCCCAGAAATTTCCTTAATATGGGATAATATAAATGCCAAGCTAGATGTGGCAAATTCAGGCTCAATTCTCAGGGTCTGTTTTCAAAACTGTGTAGACATTAGTTCTTCATGAACAGGATGAAAAATTTTCATCTTTCCGTAATTCTAAGAGTTACTGACCAAGTTTATAACTTGGAAAGAATTGTGTTTGATAATTTATGATAACACTATTGTGATGCTAGAGGAGATAGTTATTAAGATGCCTGTATCTGAAAAAGAAACTATCCATTCTTTAACATGTGAGCATGAATCTGCCTCTGCTGATGCCTACAAAGCATCCTGTCCTGGTTAATGCTCATTTAAAGTTTGTTTTGAAAATAGTAAGAAATTTACCATCTATTAAAGATGAAAAATGCTGAATTTCATGTTTACGAGCTGCTCAAGTACTCTAAATTATTTCTCACTACTCTAAGTTATTTCTACTAAATCATACAACTTTCTTTAAAACAAAAATATTTAAAGAAATTTTAACCATGTGACAGTTCACAAGGACGTTTTGACTAATAAAGCATATGAAGGGGAAAATGAGAGCGAACCGTTTGCTCTCTGGCAGGTGGACACCTACAAACATGCCAGAAGGGACGAAGCTGGAACAAATCTGTGTCTTTGTGTCTTCCGAGAATTGCTTTTACTGATTTACATAGACGGAGAAAAAGTAAACACTTCTAGTCTAATAAAGACTAGTGAAATTAGTGATCTTTCTTTAAATTCCATGAAAGTGTTCCACAAAAGAGACATCAAGATAAAAACATGTATCTGGTTTTGTTCCCTCCCCAGTCTTGTTTCTTATCAGTGCCTGTTAAAGATTTATGGAAGAGCTATACTTGTACTGTTTCTTCTCTAAAATCTGAAAAACAATTCATAAAAGATTCATTGTTCTAGCAAACTCTAGCTATGCAATGAATTGTGTCTATCATGTTGGTATGTACTAGCCACAAATAAAAACAATTCTTTAACAATCTGTATGAAGATACCAAAAGAACAATGTAGATGACTTGCAAATGACAGGGTCCAAAAAAACCCAAATACTTTTTATGGTTTAAGAATCATAAACTCAAACTACTCCGGAGTCTCTGTTACAGATCACGGGGTTTGAAATTGGGTGAAATAGATTACTTTTCTCCTCCAGTAGTGTGTAAAGTACCTTTCAGCTCCATGAACAATTTGCAGTAGTAGCTACTACTTTGGCACCAGCTCAATGTCTCCACATTCAATGACATAAATAAGTTGCATCTTCAGCAATAGGGTCTTACCATGAGGTTATGAAGAGTAACGAATAGTCTTGGCTATAGCCTGTGATAACCAGTGGTGGGATCTATGGGATCCCTTTGACTAATGGTTCAACAAGATGTTGCACATTATTGGCACTGGAAGTTTTACTTGGTGGTATAAGATGTATACTTGAGGTATTGTTTCCCCTATTATGTGGTGATCCACTTAAAATTCCTTCCATATATGTGCATATGTTAGGAAGCTTCTACAGTAGTGGGTTTCCATGTTGTTTTAAAAGGCCTTTCTTTAATGTTAGTTGTTTCTCCCCAGATTTCTCCTTTACTCTTCCCTTCTATCCATCCCAATTTAATCCTTCCGTACCAGTTTCCCTGATGAGATGGAACCAGTGACACTGCAGAAGCAGCCAGGAACCTGAGATCAGCTAGGCCACAGATGCCGGGGATAACTGAATTGTTTTATTCTGCCAAAGGAGCATATCAATAAAATGATTCCTAATGACATTGTTATACCCATAGATCATAACACCACTCAACATTCATCAAGGAAGGTTCTTCTTGCAGGATAATTAACAAAGAGTTACAGGATATACAGAATGAGAGGCATTGGCACATTTGGCCCTAAATGACATGTCTTTATCAAACTCCTCTCAAGTCTCAGGGATCTATGTGTGAGAGGAGGTGAATAGATGGCCAAGGATACAGCGTCTTCCAGACACAAGACTGATAGACATGGACTTACAGAGACTGTGAGAGCACATACATGACCTGCACAAATTCAAACCAGTCAAAAATCCCAGCACTGAGAGGGGGGACTGGACACGAAGTCCTACCCCTAACCAAGTAGCTATTTGCAATTTCGCCTTCCCTGCTGGGAAAGGAAAAACCAGCTTTATATAATGTGACACTGTGTAGATTAACAACAATTCAAGGCAGCCCCCCATGCCCAGGACGACACAAAACAGAGTTGATTGTGTATGTGCGCGTGTGTGCAAATGCACAAACACGTGTGTGCATGCACTTGCATGCGCAGGCACTCGAGTGAGAGCATTATTTGGTTATTTTTTTTTTTGTCTTTTTTACTTTTTTTCAGTTTGCTTATCTGTTTCAATTTCATTTTTGTTGCTTTCCCTGTCTCTTGAGTTTTTTGTTATTATGTTTGAGGGGGGCCATGTGTGGGTGAGTGAACAAGAGGCTGGGTGGGTAGGGAGGTAGGGAAGATATGGGAAGAACTTAGAGAAGGGGAAGAATATTGTAAACATTTTAAAGTAAAAATTTAAACAGAGGGCTGGAGAGATGGCTCAGAGGTTAAGAGCACTGACTGCTCTTCCAGAGGTCCTGAGTTCAATTCCCAGCAACCACATGGTGGCTCAAAACCATCCGTTATGAGATCTGGTGCCCTCTTCTGGTATGCAGATATACATGGAAGCAGAATGTTGTATACATAATAAATAAATAAAATCTTTAAAAAAAATTTAAAAAGAACCATAAGATAAAAATCCATAAAACTATATAAATGAATCTATACTTTCAGGTATCTAGGCTATGTTGAAATTATAATACCTTTTAGTGCTCCTAGAGCATTTTACCATAAAGCATTTTAATATTATATAAGTACTATATTGCCATTTTAATTGTGTCTTCTTTTTCAGTACTAAGAATTGAACCTGACCTTGCATATGCTAAGATAGTTCTCCTCTTGTGGGGTATATTCCAAACAACTTTATTATGAAAGTGCAGAATGTCAAATAATAGAACCATCAGCAATTCATAGCAGATTTGTCAACTAGGCAACAAAATACTCTATAGGTTAACTCTCTGCTGTATTTTATTGAATACACAGGTAGTGACTTTGGATTGGAAATAATGTAAAAATAGGTACAAGAAGCAGTGATCCATTTCATTTCTCCATTTATGAAAGGAACCAAAGCATACAACAAAGATTTCTGCACCTCTCATTCATCATGGCACTATCGCAATAGCCAAGAAATGAGCTCAGCCTAGACATCCATCAACAGATTAATGGATAAAGAAAATCTCTCTCTCTCTCTCTCTCTCTCTCTCTCTCTCTCTCTCTCTCTCTCACACACACACACACACACACACACACGGTTTTAATTGTCAACTTGACATAAACTATAGTCATCTGAGAGGAAAGTCTCAGTTGAGGAATTGCCTGAATCAGACTGGCCTATGACCATGTCTATGGGAACTGTATTGATTATTAATTGATGCAGAAGGGCCCTGACTATTCTGGGTGACATAATCTCTAGGCAAGTAGTCCTGGGCTGTATAAGAAAGCCAGCTAGCTCTCTCTCTGTTTCCTCTCTGCTTCCTCTCTCCTCTCTCTCTCTCACCTATGTGCTCTCTCTGTGGCGACCGGCCATGGTGGTCAGCCATTTATCCCTGTTTCTTTCCTCTTCTTAGTCTCCCTACTCTGCTGGGCCTAATAATAAACTTATAGTCAAAAAAAAAAAAAAAACAACAAAAAGAAAGCCAGCTAATCATGAACCTAGGATTGAGCAACCAGTCTGATTTCTGTTTTAAGTTTATGATTGAGTTCTTGCCTTGACTTCCTTCAGCGATAGATTATGACTTGCAAGTATAAGCCAAACAGCCCCACCCCCCAGATGTTTTTGGTCATAGCAAGGAAATTGGAACCATAGTTTTATTTGAGCAAAATATGTTCTTTAAAAAAAAAAAGGAATTGAGGATTATTGTGCTAATAAACAAGGCAGACTCAAACACTGTAATATTTATTTCATATGAATATAGATTTCTCTCATATACATGCATGCTCTTCATGTATGTATGCCTATATAGGAGAGATGTGAAGCATTTGGAAGGAGGGACATAAAAAAAGTAATAGGGGTGAATATGAGCAAAGTACAATGACATACATGCATGGATGTGTGTCATTTCATACAATGGCATACATGCATGGATGTGTGTCATTTCATACAATGGCATGCATGTATGGATGTGTGTCATTTCATACTAGAACTATTGTTTTGTCCTCTAAAATATTAATGGAATTTAAAAAGGTAACAGAAACCACTAATTACCATTTTGCTAAATACCAACAGACTTAAAGTCCATCATCTGTATATGGAAATGACTAAGAACAGAGATGTTTTTATGGAGATGCGAACGCATGAGCGGGAATGCCCCTCACACTGTCTTCCAACAGTTCAGGGAAGACTGCTTCATAATCACTGTCACTCACAAAAGTTGCAAATTTCATTGCCAGGTATTTGAGAAAATAATGAAGATATTGAAATAACATGCAAAGCCCCTCTCATTCAGAGGTGAGCAAAGCAACATCATTCTAGTTTACATAAATACCCAGTTGATGCTGTGTCGTGCCACACAACCTGAGATTTATTTTTACTACACCACTATGCAGAATTATTCTTTTATCCCTGCCACCACTTTGTCATTGTGGTCCTTTTTATCT